CCCGCCAGCCAGGGCCAGCCGGGGGAAAGGGCGGCCGTGGGGGTGGGGGGCCGAGCACCCCATGGGTGCAGGGTGCAGCATCCCCATGGGGTCAGCTCCAGCCTCCTCCCATGGGGCATTCTCTGTCCTCCCCATGGGGTTAGCTCCAGAATGTCCACAGGGTTAGCTCCACCCTCCTACCCATGGGGTTAGCTCCATCATCTCCACAGGGTTAGCTTCACCCTCCTACCCATGGGGTTAGCTCTAGCATCTCCATAGGGTTAGCTCCATCCTCCTACCTATGGGGTTAGCTCCATCATCTCCACAGGGTTAGCTTCACCCTCATACCCATGGGATTAACCCCATCATCTCCATAGGGTTGGCTCCACCCTCCTACCCATGGGATTAGCTCCAGCATCTCCAAAGGGTTAGCTCCACCCTCCCCATGGGGTTAGCGCCAACATCTCCACAGGGTTAGCTCCACCCTCCTGCCCATGGGGTTAGCTCCAGCATCTCCATAGGGTTAGCCCCATCCTCCGCATGGAATTATCTCCATCCTCCTCCCCAAGGGATTAGCTCCATCCTCCCCTTGGTGCTATCTTCATCGTACTCCCCATGGGGTTATCTCCATCCTCTCCATGGGGTCAGCTCCATCTTCCTCCCCCCAGGACTATCTCCATCCTCCTCCCCATGGATTTATGCCCATCCTCCCCATAGTGTTATCTCCACCCTCCCCATAAGGTTTTCTCCATCCTCCCCTTGGTGTTCTCTTCAACCTCCTCCCCACAGGGTTGTCTCCATCCTCCCCATGGGATTGTCTCCATCTTCCTCCCCATGGGGCTATCTCCATCCTCCTCCCCATGGCTTTAGCTCCATCTTCCCCATGAGGATGTCTCCATCCTCCTCCTCGTGGATTTATCTCCAACCTCCTCCCTATGCGTTGAGTTCCATCCTCCCCACGGATTCATCTCCATCCTCCTGCCCATGGTGTTATCCCCACCACCCTTGCAGAAGCCCTTGTCCCCCCTCCCCACACCCAGCTATCTCCATCCTCCTCCCCATGGCTTTAGCTCCATCTTCCCCATGAGGATGTCTCCATCCTCCTCCTCGTGGATTTATCTCCAACCTCCTCCCTATGCGTTGAGTTCCATCCTCCCCACGGATTCATCTCCATCCTCCTGCCCATGGTGTTATCCCCACCACCCTTGCAGAAGCCCTTGTCCCCCCTCCCCACACCCAGGACCTACCTCAGGGACTGGGACTGT